TGGTACTCCACGCTCCACAGGAATCCGGAAGATATTACTTACTATCTACTCGCCACCACCACCATCAACATCATCATCATCATCATAATTACAATCGTCATCTTTGACTAATCATCAGGGGCGGTGGGGTAGCCTAGTGGTTTAAGCGTTGGCTCGTCACGCCGAAGACCTGGGTTCGATTCCCTATATGGGTACAATGTGTGAAGCCCATTTTATCATCATCATCGTCATCATCATCATTACAATCGTCATCTTTGACTAATCATCAGGGGCGGTGGGGTAGCCTAGTGTTTTAAGCGTTGGCTCGTCACGCCGAAGACCCGGGTTCGATTCCCTATATGGGTACAATGTGTGAAGCCCATTTTCCGGTGTCCCCAACCGTGATATTGCTTGAATATTGCGAAAAGTGGCGTAAAACCGTACTCAGGATTAGTGACTGTGTTGATTGCGTGTTATTTTACCCCGACGGTGGGGAACGTTGCTCATGATATCAATCACTGGATGACTAGTCTGTGCGCGATTATTTACAGGCCACCGCCAAAGATATGGATTAATACTCCATATGGAGTAATAAAGCGGCTTAAGAGAACAAAACAAGCATTGTGTTTTTGAAGATTCGTTGAAAAGTGATCAGTCAGTAGGCCCTCAGCAACCCATGCTTGCCGTAAGAGACGACAAATGGGATCGGGCAGTCAGGCTTATGCCGATGCGACGTTAAATTATAACTCACTCACTCTGCTCAGATGATCTGTGGTAGAATAGATCTTCAGCTACCCAGGCTTGCCGTAAAAGGTGACTATGCTTGTCGTAAAAGGTGACTAACGGGATCGGGCAGACAGGCTCGCTGATTTGGTTGATGCATGTAATCATATCTCAATTGCGTAGATCGATGCTCCTGAAGTCAATCACTGGATTGTCTGGTCCAAACCCGATTATTTAAAGACCGCCGTCATGATGCTGGAAAATTGTGCGGCGTTAAACAAACAAACACTTTGTACTGGCCGTCCCCGTTTCTCCTACTCTGTTGATCAGGACATGTTTACTCACATTCAACAAGAAAATAAGGACACGAACCAGGACATATATAAGTATACACACCCATGAAATTATTGATAAGGGCGTTCCTTGAAATATAGAGATAAGGGCGGTGCTTAGAATATAGGCCACGGGGCGCTATGTTTGTTCGGTCATTTGAACACGGATGTAATAGCCTGGCTCTACCCAATCGTTGAGTACTGATAAGTATGAGATGTTGTGTTATTTGTTTACGGGGTTTACAGTGCGTGCATATGTGATAACCACAATGCTATATTAAAAAATATGAAGTAACATACGTCCCGGGTCTCATGCCTGACGTGCGGACGCTTGCACCACTAGGCTGTCCCAATCTTATCGAAGGAAATCTAACTATACTGGTCATTCGAAATCTTTAACTTACTATTCAGATTTCAAGCTTCAAGTCACGATTCAACTTACGCCGAATATTAACAAAATTTAGATGTAAATGTCAAGATTTGACTATCAAAGCTGTTAGATTTTACAGATCTCATCTAACAAAAATACTGTAGGCTTACAGTACAGCCATGTCACAGAAGACGAATACCACGTTTTAATGACTTGCCCGGAATTATTGTATCATATATTTCGCAAGAAAACAGTTCTTTGGTGAACTAATATTATGTGTTTGAAACTTGTGCATTATGTATTAAGGCCACATATACGAACTCGGAGAGCTCAAGGCCCAGGATTCGATCCCCGGCCGCGTCATACCAAAAGACGTTAAATATGGTACTTGTTGTTACCCTGCCTGGCGCTCGGCATTCAGGGCTAAAACAAGGACGGGTCGGATCGGAGTCAGTATACTGTATCTGAGTGGGGTATTGTTGTTTAACTGCGGCATGGTATCTCAGTGTGCTAGCATTATTAATCGGCATCAGTCCGGACTAGTACAAGCATCCACAGTCACACATGCATGCACGTCGCTATAGGAGAGCAATAGTCTTGGATGCGACGCTCGTCTCACCTCACGAATATCGTGTTGCAGATCCAGGCGGTGGATCCCTACTTGCAGTGGGACGACGAAGCTCTTTGCTTCACTGTTCAGCCCTCTGGCAGGCGACAGAGAAAGGAGTGCCTGAGGACACGACTCAAGGGAATCTTTTTCTGTAACACATGCTCTATTTCATTAAAGTCATGGACCCGTGGAGATCCAGGGGAGAATAGGTCTTCAGCTACCCATGCTTGCCGCAAAAGGCGACTATGCTTGTCGTAAGAGGCGACGAACGGGATCGGGTGGTCAGGCTCGCTGGCTTGATTGATGCATGTCATCGCTTTCCAATTGCGTGGATCAAAGCTCATGATGTCAATCACTGGATTGTCTGGTCCAGACGCGATTATTTCCAGAGTGCGACGTTAAACAACAAACAAACAGTTATGAAAGAAAAGGGCCAACATGTTTATATCTGGAATCATGCTTGAACATATAGTGATTCCAATTCTGTCGAGATTAACGAGAACTCGAAATACCATCTATGTGATGAATTACACAGCCAATTACAAATAAGGCTACACTTTTCATTTGCTTCACAGATCCGCCGACTATACATTTTGTGGAAATGGGAAAATAATTCCGAATTGGATCTTCTTTTTTCCCACCCCGCCGACAGGATGATAGCATATTGCACCAAACAAATATTATCCGAACGTGGACCCGTTAAAGTTGACATAAATTAAACATGGAAGTTAAAATAAAGTTTGATTATGTTCCTGAAATTGACAGCAACAGTATTCCCGCTTGTTTCGTTAGGTTCAGGACCCGTGAAGATCCGGGGTAGAATAGGTCTTCAGCAACCAATGCTTGCCGCAAAAGGCGACTATGCTTGTCGTAAGAGGCGACTAACGGTATCGGGTGGTCAGGCACGCTCGCTGACTTGGTTGATGCATGTCATGGATCCCAATTGCGTGTCGTGTCACCGTCAGGGGGACAATAATTGTACACAACTTTAACCCGCCCGCTTTAATAATCTCAGTTGATGACAACATCACACTATTCAGCCAGTGTTTGGTTTCCACTTCCAGGTGAGGATACAGATGACTCATCTCTCCGTGACGATTCAGAATCTAGACAGCGGACAACCCCATCCTCCATAATTAACAGTAAGTAGACACAGTTGTTTTTCATGACCATTGTCCTATTACAACAGAAAGTACCAAGATTATCTAAAATCTGTGGTCGTCAACAAACTATAAGCTGTGCAATTTGTGACACTTACAAAATGTGACACCTATAGGGAGTTATGGTACTGTTTTAGTATGTGTAGAAGATTAATTGTCTACATTGTATGTCTTTCTTTCTTTGTTGCTTAACGCCGCACTCAGCAATATTCCAGCTATATAACGGCGGTCTGTAAATCATCAATTGGGATACGATGACATGCATCAACCAAGTTAGAGAACCTGACCACCCGATACCGTTAGTCGCCTCTTACGACAAGCATAGTCACCTTTTACGGCAAGCATGGGTTGCTGAAGACTATTCTGCCCCGGAATCTTCACGGGTCTTACTTTGTATGTGTTAACTGACATGCATATATATTCAGTATGGCCATTGAGTTTTTATTGTTTGCTATTTTATGTCAAAGTTGTTCACTTTCCAGACCAAACTTAATTCATTCAGTAGGACCATTGAGTTTTGATTGTTCTCTAATATATGTCATGGACCCGTGAAGATTCCGGGTTAAAATAGGTCTTCAGCAACCCATGCTTGCCGTAAAAAGCGTCTATGCTTGTCGTAAAAGGCGACTAACGGGATCGGGTGGTCAGGCTCGCTGACTTTCTTGATGCATGTCCTCGATCCCAATTGCGTGGACCGATGCTCATAATATTAATCACTGGATTGTCTGGTCCAGACTAGATTTTTTTACAGACCGCCGTCATATAGCTGGGATATTGCTGAGTGCGGCGTTAAACAACAAACCAACCAACCAGTAAGTCTCTCTCTTCTGTCAGCATAACCATACATACAGTTATTGTGACGTAACTCTCCTTGATCAGCATAACCATACATACAGTAACGCTCCTTGATCAGCATAACCATACATACAGTAACGCTCCTTGATCAGCATAACCATACATACAGTAACTCTCCTTGATCAGCATAACCATACATACAGTAACGCTCCTTGATCAGCATAACCATACATACAGTAACTCTCCTTGATCAGCATAACCATACATACAGTAACTCTCCTTCATCAGCATAACCATACATACAGGAACTCTCCTTGATCAGCATAACCATACATACAGTAACGCTCCTTGATCAGCATAACCATACATACAGTAACGCTCCTTGATCAGCATAGATGTACATACAGTTACTCTTCAATGTGGATAAACATGAGTGAAGCCCATTTGTGGTCGTGATATTGCTGGAATATTGCTAAAAGCGGCGTAAAACCATACTCACTCACTCATTATCTTACATGATTTACAGTAATTAAATGTAACGCAATCCTAAGTAAATTAAAACCATATAAATTTAACATTGGGTTTAATGTTGCGTTCAAGATTATTGCGCTTATATAGCGACGTGCATGCAGGTGTGTGTGTGTGTGTGTGTGTGTGTGTTCGTGTGTGTGTGTGTGTGTGTGTGTGTGTGTGTGTGTGTGTGTGTGTGTGTGTGTGTGTGTTACCGTTTGTACTAGACCGACCAAATGGCGATATTGATAGTGCCAGCCCACTGAGATACCATGCCGATGTTTTAACACGAATACCCCACTCAGACACAGTATACTCCGAGCTGACAGTTCCTTGTTTTAGACCTTTAATGCCGAATGCGAGGCAGGGTAACAACAAGTTCCATCTTTATGTCGTCTCTTGGTATGACGCGGTAGGGGATTGAACCTCCATGACCTTCCGCTCTCCGGGCGGAGTTCTACCACTAGACCACGAAGGCGTCACATTAAGTACAGACAAAATAAGGTCGTTATCAAGGCGAATCCTCGGAAATCGAACCTTAATGTTCAACACAGTTTGTCTGAATTTATACCCAGAACACATAAATTAGGATAGCACACTTTTATTAGATTTCTGGGAAGATCATCAATGTAATTTACATGCAGATTCAGCATATAATCATCACACCTTCCAACAATATGTCAACATAATCAAAAGTGAGTGAGTGAGTGAGTTAAAATTTATAGTCACATCGGCAGTATTTCAGCCATATCGTGACTAACAATAAATATACACAGTATATACATTTAAACAATAAAAGCCTGTCAACAAAGAACAGTAAAATAACTAGAAGATCACAGAATATTATTTAAAACTAGTATACAGCCATAAAAAGATGTCACTATACGTAACGATACAATATAAAAAAGGTATAGATCGCCAGCAACTGAAGGTAGATCACCTCACTAGGGACCATGGGGACTTACAGTACTTTTGCTACTGCATGGACTCCAGCAGGAGTTACACCATCCCTTCAGATGTTGGCGATGGCTGACACAATTAGCCGAACATTAAAACAACACATATTCTACGATTAAAAACGTGGTAACAATAAATACACTTTGAAAGACGTGGTCTTACATACCCTCTGAGGGGGACATAATTTTACACTAGTTCAACCCCCTTCGAGGGTGCAGCCACGGACAATCACATAATCAAGTGAAAACATACATTAAAATATTGGCGGATAATTTACCAACATGTACCAAATGAAAAATACTGTGAATAAAATTCTTTATAAATGTTATTTATCGCCTGTTAAGTTACATTAAATACACAAGGTCGTATAATGGGCACTGACATGACTCTGACGGTACTTATATATTACCACTAATCACATGTCATGGGTGACCATGCTTGTAAGAGGCGACTAACGGTATCGGGTGGTCAGGCTCGCTGACTTGGTTGTTGCATGTCATCACTCCCAACTGCGTGGGACCCGTGAAGATTCCGGGGTAGAATAGGTCTTCAGCAACCAATACATGCCGTAAAAGGCGACTATGCTGCGATATAACTGGATTACTGTTAAAAGCGGCGATAAACCCAACTCACTCACTCACTCGTTCTTCACATGAAGGCTGTCGGTGGAGAGGGGGCTTGAAGTGTACAGGGTAGAACCTTGCGAACAAAAGTACACAATATCTGCACAAGATACCATGCCACAGTGTAACATGGACACCCCACTCAGATACTTTATACTGACTCACAGACGACCAGTCCTCGTTTTGTTCCCTTATTGACGAGCGCCAGTCACGGTAACAACTTCTCTTAACGTCTTTCGGCCAGAGCATCGAACCACAGATCTTTTGCTCTCCAGGTAGACGTTCTATCCAGACGCGGAATGAGTAAAGCCCAACCGAGTTTATGATTAGACAACTTACATTTCATGATTAACTTGATATTATCGCTAACGCCAGTCATTGTGTAACGATAATCAACTGAAACATGTTATGTTTCAGGAGCACAGATTATTTTACAATGTGTCTAGTGTGAGCAATTAATTCTGACACACATTTACAAAAACGTATGCAATTATCAGTAACACTACATAACAATGTTCAGAATGATCCTAAGGCGTATCCGCTCTATACACTACTTGAATCCGTCACCAGAGGCTCCATTGAGATTGTCAATCCTTACTCAGTATCCTGCTGTGAAGCTGATCCCATAAGGAACTCTTATGAAACTCCTCCAAAGGAAACCTGTTATCTTCATCCAGAAGTTGATTAATGATAGGTGGCAATGGATGACGGAAGACCGCGTCCGAAAAAAGGATGATAAATCTGTCAGATTTCAGATTATCGCCAAGATAAACGGCTGAAGAAAGCCTGAAGGAACAGAGCTCGTCTTCCAGGAAGGTCTGAGTCAGATAGATTATAGTCTTCCAGCTGTTGTTGATGGCGCCCAGAACCTCCTCACACGTGTAGACTCCGGGCTCGAAGTCTCTGTCAGGAATACAGAGACGAAGATCTCTTTCATCTTCCAGCTTTTGCTTCAAGGTGCTACACACCCACCGACGGTCGTCCTTTGATGAATGGTAGACAAATACATCATACTTATAATGTCGTTGGAAGTCGAAACCTAACCATTTGACACTCCATCGCTTTAACAAATTTACATTTCTTGCAATATGAAGACTTAGAGACAATCCTAAGATAAGAAGGAAAAAAAGACATATTGAAAATAAAAGCCAAAAGAAAGAAACGCACGACCTCCACATTTTCATGTATGAATCTGCAATATTTGTTATGTGAATAATTTCCCCATTATCATTTCGACACATGTAATGATGACTGTCAACGAAGATTACGAGTGAGTCCATTGACCATGAAATAAATTCAAGAGAACCACACCCACATGACAGAACATTCCCTCGAAGATTAACCGATATATTTTTCTTCTGAGCCACAGCGTCTAATCTCTTTCTTGTTCCCACACTCAGCTCTTTTATTGAGTTATACGAGACATCTATTAATCTGATATTTGTTATTTTCTCCACATTTCTTGGCAAATCAGAAAGGTCATTATCTAACAGATGCAGGTTCTGAAGATGTTTAAAGTGCCCCAATACCGATTCTATGTTGTTATCGATACACTTAAATCCCTTTGTGATACGATTTAATGATAGATTTTTAATGTTGGGAAAGGATTTCATCAATGTCGTTGGGGATCCAATAAATCCATTTCCGGAAATTTCCAAGCTTTGAAGGTTCTTTATTCCAAAGATACTAACATTATATGCAACTACCGAACAATTAGAAAATACAACTTTTGACCACCTTTCAGTACCAAGGAAATACAGTTCATGTTTGATATCAACAAAAGGTCTTAATGCTGGTGCAAAATAAAGTGAGGTTAGGTTTCGTGGAAATGCCAACATCAGATACGCTGTTACATTACTTTCACTTTGGGGAATGACTTCACTGTCTCGTGTCTCAGCACTGACTGAGAAAACACATGTTTGAGGTTCATTTTCTGGCCATACCATCCCATTCGTATCTTGAAAAATTGAATGTGAATCATAGAAATTGTATATATAGTCATTATATTGTTTAAGGTCTTTCTCGTATTGTTCAAAGTGAAATGATACCAAATGTGTGTAAAAGAAAAGGGTTTGAAGTATATCATACTCTTCCAGAATCATGTTGTGACTGAGATCTAAAACACGAAGGCATTGGGAAAATGGAGGTTGAATCAAAGCTCCTCCCTCAATTATTCGTATTCTGTTGCCTACCAGATACACTTCTGAAACACACATTGTGACAAGAAAACGTGTATATTTTTTGGATAACATGAAACATTGCTCAGTTCTGACTCCATATCTTGCGGTGTTTGCTATGAAAGAAATTCGTTGCATGGATGCATTTTCATAATTATTTAGATTTACCAATCGCTGAGATAAATCTGTGTGGACTGTGTTCCTAATATCTAAGATATCTAAATATGGAAACACATCAGTTATATTTGTATCTACCTGCCCCTTATTACATGCATTTATCTGAAATGCTGTAAGATTAATTTTTGTGAAAACCTCAAATGCACTTGTATTAAGGCTATTCTTTTGACAGAAGCTAATGGTTAAAGTGCGTAAATTTGTCAAACTGACAAATCCGATACCAAATGTTGGGTTTGGAGGAGAATCGATAGCAAATTCTTCGAGTTGATTGAGATCAAGAAATGTTTCCTCTGCATACTCCAAATCATCATGAATCTGTTTAATGTTCATGTCACTCAATAAAAGGCGTTTTAGTGGAAGATCTCTGAAGAGGCCTGGCGGTAATGACGAAGACGTACAGTTTATCTTGTTTCCTCTGAGGTCAAGTTTCGAAAGGTGTGGTAAGTTCTTGAGTGAATCACTGTCTAGATGAGTAAGACTATTCCAATACATACTGAGTGTGTGTACCATCAGACGATAAGGAAAGGACATCTTCTCAATGCTTGTTATTTCATTCTGTGACAAGTCAATGACAGTCACGTTTTCAGCAAATCCTTGGGGCACATCAGTGAAGTTTCCTTTCGAACAGTTGGCAACTATATCTCGATCGTTCTCGTTGTAAATGCAGCTGTTGAAGTCGTACATCTTGGCCAAACAGGGCAACCCTAAGCCGATCAGCCTAATAGTCAGCATTGCGAGAAAGGAGTTCCTTGTCATTGCCTGAAAGAAAGAAATTATCTCAAAGAGGATGTGTTCTATACTACAGTAGAAGTTTAGTGAGCAGAGCATAACATCAATGCACGTATTTACGACCACAGTCTAATTTTGATATTACTTATGTTTTGAGCACATAGGATAGAGTAAATAGGATCTGTAACCCACTTGAATAGTTCTGTAAAATGAAAAAGGCAATACAAGATTAAAAAAGAATGAGAATGAAAGAAAGAACATATAATGCAAAAGCCTTGGAACAATACGTCTTGACTGTCTGCCGAGGGGTAAAAGACAAAAAGTGGTGCAAATTGTATGAACGGATCACTGAAAACCAGTGCTGACACATGTCACAATGCAACAGACATCCCCACAGCCTCTTCATTACATCACATGAGACATACACAACTGGCGCTATGGGCACATAATGATCAAAGGTTGAAGTTCTGCCAAATACTACTACTACTACTACTACTACTACTACTACTACTACTACTACTAGACCCGTGAAGATCTACTACTACTACTACTACTACTACTACTACTAGACCCGTGAAGATCTACTACTACTACTACTACTACTACTACTACTACTACTAGACCCGTGAAGATCCGGGGTAGAATAGATCTTCAGCAACCCATGCTTGCCGTAAAAGGCGACTATGCTTGTCTTAAAAAAGCGACTAACGGGATCGGGTGGTTAGACTCGCTGACTTGGTTGATGCATGTCATCGATCCCAATTGCGTGGATCGATGCTCATGATATCAATCACTGGATTGTCTGGTCCAGACTCGATTGTTTTACAGACCGCCGTCATATAGTTGTACTATTGCTGAGTGCGGCGTAAAACAACAAACCAACCAACCAATCTAATGTTGTCAGTGTCTGTTTACCTAAACATCAAAACTAGAAACAAGGGACTTTTATATTTAAAGTTTAATTGAAGTGAAAATGTGTTTTGAACCCAGAAGTAAGATAATCCGAACAGGAAGTACTAATAGCTTTTTTACATTGGGGGCTAGAATCATGGGACTTTCAGGTTTATGTTTGTTATGCGAGGAAAAAATGTATTCATCAACGGGATATAAATCAACACAAACTGATAATTTTGTTTCTAACTGAGCTAGAACCATTTGACTTTCTAGCTCTTTGTTTCTGACCCACGAAGAGCCGGGGTAGAATAGGCCTTCAGCAACCCATGCTTGCCGTAAAAGGCGACTATGCTTGTTGTAAGACGCTACTAATGGGATCGGGTGGTCAGGCTTGGTGACTTGGTTGATTATGTGATCCTATCCCAATTGCGTGGGTCGATGCTCATGATGTCAATCACTGGATTGTTTGGTCCAGACTCGAATATTTACAGACCGCCGTCATAAAGCTGGAACATTGCTGAGTGCGCGTTACACAAACAAACAAGCGTGTCGCCTTTTACGGCAAGCATGGGTTGCTGAAGACCTATTCAACCCGGGATCTTCACAGTGTTGTAATGTTGTGGGAAGATATATATACTGGTATATACAACATCTGTTATCCTTGGGACCCGTGAAGATCCGGGGTAGAATAGATCTTCAGCAACCCATGCTTGCCGTAAAACGCGACTATGCTTGTCGTAAAAGGCGACTAACTGGATCGGGTGGTCAGGCTCGCTGACTTGGTTGATGCATGTCATCGATCCCACATTGCGAGGATCGATGCTCATGATATCAATCACTGGATTGTCTGGTCCAGACTCGATTATTTACAGACCGACGTCATATAGCTGAAATATTGCTGAGTGCGGCGTTAAACAACAAACCAACCAACCAACCGTTAGCCTTCTTGTTGTCCCGTCATACGTTGTTGAATAGTCGGCTAGTTTCACTTTGGCTGCAGGTGTCAGAATGACCTTTATGCTTTGTATAGAAGTGGTTTATTTTGCGTCCTGTTACACAATGTACATTTATTTCTACCGCGGAAATTCCCACTTGACTGTAAGGAGGTACCGTGTTAACACTTTCCAAACAATATTTATTAGCACTTTCATCTTTAAAACATTGTCATAATTTCTGTACATTAGTGTGCTTAGTTTTGATTAAACTGATACAATCGTGCGCATATACATATCTTCCTCTATTTCTTACTCATTCCATTGATGACGTTATTTAGTACTATGACGTCTACCAAAGATGTTCAAATACAGTGACATACCAGAATACACCCTTACGTCAATCTCTAACGTCATGAAAAAGAGATTTTTTTTACACTTGGGTCTCTCATTCGAGACAACCGGGAGTTCGACACAAAGATGTTCGACTGTAATGTTAGTAGCGGCTTTTAACCACACACACTCACAAATTATGATATAATCCCGCACACTGTTACAGATGCCCTACCCGTATGTACAGAAGACCAGGATCTAAATATGCTACCCGGCTTTGTGAACAGGACGCGATTTATTGCCTGTGTAGCTTGTGAATGGCATTTGAAGTTAACATAATGAGAAGTGTGTCAGGTGTTCTAAGCCCACCCTGCCCCATTAAATATCACACACAAGCGGAATAGTGGCTCCCACAGAAAGGCGCAGCCAGTGTGTGTGTTGGTAATTTACAATAGAATGTGCACACATGTTTAAAATGCAGAGGCAGCGATACACTACTATCACGTTTGTGATCGAGGAAAAGCGCGACCCGTGAAGATTCCGGGGTAGATTAGGTCTTCAGGAATGTATTCATAAACGGGATATAAATTAACACACACTGATAATTTTGTTATTAACTGAGCTAGAACCATTTGACTTTCTAGTTCTTTGTTTCTGACCCGTGAAAATCCGGGGTAGAATAGGTCTTCAGCAACCCATGCTTGCCGTAAAAGGTGACTATGCTTGTCGTAAAAGGCGACTAATGGGATCGGGTGGTCAGGCTCGCTGACTTGGTTGATGCATGATCATCGATCCCAATTGCGTGGATCGATGCTCATGATATCAATCGCTGGATTGTCTGGTCCAGACTCGATTATTTACAGACCGCCGTCATATAGCTGGAATATTGCTGAGTGCGGCGTTAAACAACAGACCAACCAACCAATCGAGGAAACGCCTGTTTTAGTAAGGTAGTGTGCCATTTTCCATGAAGTATAGGATTCTGTAAGCATCGACAAACACGAGAATACACGTACATGTGACATGACCGGTATCAATCTGATCATGTCAAATAACAAGTGTACGTGATCCCGTGGACAGGGCAGGTCCCTCTGGCTTGTCGGGGCAAAACTTGAATATGCACAGGCCGCCATGATAGAGCTTGAATGATGCTGTGTGGCGAAAAGCTATAAACAGACTACAATATAAGGCTATTTGGAAATCACATTCTAAGGCATACATACAATCTTAGTACAATCTTGTGGACTTCGTGTAGATGAGTTATTATGCTTTTGTAACCAAACTCGAATCAATAGCACATAGATCAAATCATACAAATGCTGAGAGGTCGCTTAACAAACCCGGAAGCCACATTTGGTTGTCAGAATAACCAGTTGAATTTGATCTGCCATGTTAGTTTTCTAATGCGCGTTATATTGCGAAAGCCAGCGTTAACTCAATCGTCAACCCCATGCAACCAGTGGCCGGTAACTGGTAGTTGTAACGATTGTTTCAGTAGTACTCACCTTATTTGCAAACGAAACACGAGCCTTATAGTTAACGTCTAACTTCCTTGCGGATTGAAACACACGCGACTTGAATTGGAAAAGTGATTTATTTCCTGTTTAGATTTTATTTTCCTTACTGACAGATATTTTTAACGTACTCATATAATTAGCCAAATCTACATGTATGCTTTAAGGAACATGCAATGACGAAACACTGTATATTTTAAACATTGTGAAACAGCGAAACATGCTTAGTCAGAACCTCATTAATCCAGAAACCCGGTAATTGAATCATGACTATTGTGAATGTTACTATTTAATGACATAATTATGTACAGACTGATTCGTTCACCCTGAATTTAGTTTATTCAAAGGATTTCACAGTGAACGGTAGTGTCTGGATTAACGGGGTTTTACTGTGTAGAAGGTGACGGCAATGTTACATTACCGCATCTCAAGGAAGTTTTCTCCTATTATCAGCACTGTTCACCTTCGAATGATATCAAGACCGCATCCGTGGTCCAATGGTAGAGCGTCCCCCCGAAGGTGCGGGGTTCGATCCCCGGCCGCGTCATACCAAAAGACGTTAACAGATGGTACTTGATTTTGCACTGTCTGGCGCTCGGCATTAAGGGGCTCAAACAAGGACTGGTCGGCTCGGAGTCAGTATACTGTGTCTGAGTGGGGGTATTCATGGTTGGTTGGTTGATTTGTTGTTTAACGCCGCACTGCGGTCTGTAAATAATCAAGTCTGGACCAGACAATCCAGTGATTTATATCATGAGCATCGATCCACGCAATTGGGATCGATGACATGCATCAACCAAGTCAGCGAGCCTGACCACCCGATCCCGTTAGTCGCCTTTTACGACAAGCATAGTCGCCTTTTATGGCAAGTATGGGTTGCTGAAGATCTTTTCTACCCCGTAATCTTCACGGGTCAGGGGTATTCATGTTAAACTGCGGCATGGTATCACAGTGTGCTAGCACTATCAGTCCAGACTAGTACAAGCAGCCACACACACACGTGCATGCGCGTCGCTATAAAAGTGCAATAACCTTTGACGTGACGTTAAGCCCCATTTCACATCACCTCGAATGATATCAAACACTATGAAATGCCACATCGTGAATACTCGATGAGAATTCCTGAGCATAACACATCCGTTTTCAGTGAGTGATTGAGTGAGTGAGTGAGTTGGGTTTAACGCCGCTTTTAAAAGTATTCCATTTATATCACGGCATGTCAGCTTACTGTGGGAGGAAAGCCCCAAGTGATGCCATTCTCAGACGTGTACCACTTCGGTGAAACCTACGAGCACGGGTATGGTGCTGACAGACCTAGAAACATAATCAGGGCGAACCGGGATTCGAACCCACAATCATAGGTTTCTGGCGTGCCAAAGGGACGCAACTCGGCACACCCGTGCCCCCACAACCGTTTTGAATTATAATGTTATGACACTATTTTCACTGCATTTTGTTGCCACGTCTTGTGCTCTCTCGGCAGCTTTTATCTATGCTGAATCTGGGTTCGAATCCCGGTTCGCCCCGATTATGTTTCTAGGTTTGTCAGCACCATACCCGTACTCGTGGGTTTCACCGAAGTGGTAACCATCACTATGTTAAACTACGGCATGGTATCTCAGCTAGCACTATAAATCGGCATCAGTCCGGACTAGTACAAGCAGCCACACAAACACACACACGTACATGCACGTCGCTCTATTAGTGCAATAATGTTGGACGCGACGTTAAACCTAATTTCACCTCACCTCACATTACATTACTTACGTCACCAGACACACCATTGTTATTGTTAATTGCTACACAATATCCTGCTGTGAAGCTGATCCCATAAGGAACTCCAAAGGAAACCTGTTATCTTCATCAAGAAGTTGATTTATGATAGGTGGCAATGGATGACGGAAGACGGCGTTTGAATAAAGGATGATAAATCTGTCAGATTTCAGATTATCATCAAGATAAACGGCAGAAGAAAGCCTGAAGGAACAGAGCTCGTCTTCCAGGAAGGTCTGAGTCAGATAGATTATAGTCTTTCAGCTGTTGTTGATGGCGCCCAGAACCTCCTCACACGTGTAGACTCCGGGCTCGAAGTTTCTGTCCGGAATACAGAGACGAAGATCTCTTTCATCTTCCAGCTTTTGCTTCAAGGTGCTACACACCCACCGACGGTCGTCCTTTGATGAATGGTAGACAAATACATCATACTTAAAATGTCGTTGAAAGTCCAAACCTAATAACAAAGGGAAACAAGACAAATTGAAATACAAGTGAAACGAAAGCAATGCACGACCTCCACACTTTCATGTATGAATCTACAATATTTGTTAAGTGAATTATTTTCCCATTATCAATTCGACACATGTAATATGTCCTTTCAATGAGCCGTACCTTTGTATCCACTGCTCATGAAATAAACTCAAGAGAACTACACCCACATTCCCTCGCAGATTAACCGATATATGTTTCTTCTGAGTTACAGTGTCTAATCTGTTTCTTGTTCCCACACTCAGCTCTTTTATTGAGTTATACGAGACATCTTTTAGTCTGATATTTAATATTTTCTCCACATTTCTTGGCAAATCGGAAAGGTCATTATCTAACTGGTGCAGGTTCTGAAGAAGTTGAAATTGGCCCAATACCGATTCTATGTTGTTAACGATACACATAAATCCCTTTGTCATACGATTTAATGATAGTTTTTTAATGCTTTGAAAGGATTTCATCAATGTCGTTGGGGATCCAATAAATCCATTTCCGGAAATTTCCAAACTTTGAAGGTTCTTCAGTCCAGAGATAATAATATTTTTTGCAGATACCAAACAACTAGAAAATACTATGTTGAACCATTTTCAGTTCTACGAAAGGCCAAATCAGCGTCTATATCAACACAGGGTTTAAATGCTGGTGCAAAATAAAGTGAGGTTAGGTTTCGTGGAAATACCAACATCAGATACGCTGTGGCACTAATTTCACTTTGAGGATTGACTTCACTGTCTCGTGTCTCAGCACTGACTGAGAAAACACATGTTTGAGGGTCATTTCCTGGCCATACCATCTCATTTGTAACTTCTTTCATAGACATTTAGAAGTTGGAGTACTAAGTAAGGATAAGAATTTATGGATGAACAACTTCTTTATTACAATTAAGAGCGACGATGGTACGCCGGGGGTACCATCAACTCATCAAAGACCCCAATCAGCCATAATCCCGTTGTTTACATTACTGGTCTTCATCCTTTGTTTAAGGCACTGACTTCACCGATGATTGTCATCACTGCCCTTGTGTGTACATAACAGGCTTCTCTACCCCAGCATAACAATATCTAACCTACTGTATAAACATTGCCTCCTACTTGTATATATACTTGCCTACTACACTGTAAAACACGGAGTCCATACCACACAACCAACTACACAATCCTTCCGACTCCCAAACAACCAATCAATATTCACGGCAGAACTAATGGGCATGGCCTCAGCCCTACATAATCAAGAATCCAAAAACCACAAAAAAATCCTAATACTTACCGACTCCCTAAGTGGACTGCAAGCCCTCAAAATTTTTTTACCAAAAACCGACCTAAATTAATAAATCAAATACTTAAAAGCTCCAACGACCTAACTAAGGCAGGCAAACAAATAACCTTCTTGTGGATACCCGCCCACGTAGGAATATACGGTAATGAAAACGCCGATAAAGCAGCTACACTATCCCTCAAAATCCCAGAAATAAGCTTAAACTTACCCATCTCAAAATCAGAAATTAAAAGTGTAAACAAGCAAGAAATCACCAAAAAATGGCATAACCAATATCTAAACTCAAACAGCCAAATCAAAAAAGTGCTCAGCAAACCACTAACCAAACCAAAAATTCTCCATCCATCCCAAAAAATCGACAGAGTAATCACTAAACTCCAAACAGGACACACCAACTTAAATAACCACCTAAAAAAAATTAAAAAACACACTACAGGTAACTGCCCACACTGCAAACAACCAGAAACCCCAGAACACGCACTCATCCACTGCACACACTACCTAACACATCGAACCGCATTACAAACCACCCTCAATCTAAACAAGGCTCTAACTCTAGAAGCAATACTAAACCCACAAAATAAACTAGAAAACTTCAAGGCCTTAGGCGTATTCTTAATAAAAACGGAACTAATAAAACGCATCTAAAAACACAATAACCTACCAAATCAAAATCACATAAACAAACAAACATCCAACATACCCAGCTCCCTTAGTTCTCCTCCCCAATCCCATCGGCATCTATTCCAAATCTCAAAATTCCCCAATTCTATATAAGCAACCCCTTAAAACCCCCCTCTTGGGTTGCACAGACCACCTTCGCCCCTTTCGGAAACACATTAAATGGCCTGGCCGGGCCCGTGTGCGAAATACGCATCAGTCGGAAAGCGCACGTTAAATCTCCAAAGTAAGTAAGTAAGTAAGTACTGTAAAACAATTGCTTGTTAACGGTGTTAGAACCCACACCGAAACGTCGCTCTTAATTGTATTAAAGAAGTTGTTCATCCATAAATTCTTATCCTTACTTATATCATTTGTATCTTGAAAAATTAAATGTGAGTCAAAGAAATTGTATATTTGGTCATTAGCTTGTTTAGGATCTTTCTCGTTTTGTTCAAACTGAAATGAAGCCAAATGTGTGAATAAATAAATAAAGAGAGTGAAGTTGACCATACTCCTCCAGGATCATGTTATGACTGAGATCTAAAACACGCATTGGGAAAATGGAGGTTGAGTCAAAGCACCTTTCTGAATGATTCGTATTCTGTTGCCTTCAAGATATACTTCTGAAACACACATTGTGACAAGAAAACCTGTATCTTTCTTTTTTCGATAGTTTGAAACATAGAATGAAACTCGTTGCATGGATGCATTTTCACCTTGTAGATTTATTAATCGCAGGGCTAAATCAATGTTTGACTGTATTCCCAACATCTAAGATATTTCAATATGGAAACACAGCAGTTATATTTGTATCTATCTGCCCTTTATTACGTGCATTTATCTGAAATGCTGTAAGATTAAATTTTATGAAAACTTCAAATGCACT